ATACATGAACTTCTCTACCTGCTCCACTGCCTCTCCATTAATCTGAAGAGAGGCAACGGGCAGGAGAACGAGAAAGCACTAGGCTTTTCGTTTTAGATGCGTTCACACGCATGTCGGTCACATCGCACTCGGCCGCGAACCGTCCCAGGGAGCACTGTAGATCAGTTTTACCAGATGCCAATAAAACACGGTCATCTGCAAACAGCAACCTTCTCGACTTCACACCTCCTACACCGAAAGACACATCGCCTTGGCTACTCCAGACTCTTCTATTCATGTACAACACAAACAGAAGAGGGGGCAGGACGCAGCCTTGGCAGAGACCAGTATCAACGTTCGAAGGCTTCGCCTTAACTCCATTTACTGACGCAGCACCTGGTATCAGAATACAGTGAGTGGATGGCCCTTAGCAGCTGGCCATCTATTCCGCATGCTCCCAGGCATGACGACAGAGTCTTACGTGGGATCCGGGTCACAGGCTTTCTCTAGGTCAATAAAACACATGTACACCGGATAGGTGAACTCCCACGACTTTTCAACAATTTGTGGCGGGGCAAGTATATAGTCAAAGGTGCTTCGACTGGGCCAGAAGCCACATTGCTCTTCTTGTATCTTGGAGTCGTGCGCGGCATCTCCTTTCTAGCACCTTTACGTAGACTTTACCTGGGAGGCTCAATAACGCAATGCCCCTATAGTTGGAGCATTTCTTGTGGTCTCCCTTCTTGAATACGTGTACAACCACTCCCATTTACCAGTCCGTTTGTATCTTCCCCGTAGCCAATGCTGTCTGGCAGACACATGTGAGCCAGCCGTACTTTGTTCGACGAATGCTTTGAGCAGCAGCCTTTCCACTTTCAAACTTTCCAAAGCTTGTGTAATTTCATCTATAGAGATAGTAACATCCGTTCCCTGCTGCAGTACATGCGTGTCTTCCTGGTGAGTTAAAGAACCGCTATTTCCGTAAAATTACAGTTGCGGCGTTTCCTGTTTCATTTTGTTCTTATTATCTTGTTTGTTTATCATACTTTGCTCTTTGTTTCCGGTCTTTCTCGTTGATGATTTTCTGCCTCAGACTATTCCATTAAAGAAAAAAGCGCTAAAATATTAAAATTCGTCTGAATTTCCTGATCCTTGATAATGATTTCGGTCACCAGGTAAAATGTTCTGGCGTTGGTCAGAGTCATATTACCAACGTGGTCTTGATCGTAACTATCACACGGGTTATTCAATCTAGTTGCTAGCAAAATTTTTTATGATCAGAGCCCGCAGGTGTTTGAACGCAACCAGCATGAAGGGTTTCTGCAGGTACCTTTCACGTTGACACCAAATATTAACCTAGCGTTCAAATTTCCAAGGACGCAAGATATTGTTCATGTCGCTTCATGAATGTGATTCCGAATTCCTAGTAATATAGCGGCCTTAGTTGTCACTGCTGATCTGTGGACTTTTCCCTTTCCCTTTAGAGATAAACAATAGCACATAATTTACAAATTTTAACGTATAAACAAAACATGGTATAGCGCAAAACAAAAATTTACATATGACTGATGCAAATATATCATCATCAGTTACAAGAGAAATATAAAAAATTTTCTTGAAAGACAAGCCTGTGATTTGAGACCACTTTTACATATTGGGCAAGATCGTCCATATTACAGAAAAAAGATAATTTCCGTCGGCCAGCTATACCAGATTCATGTTTCTGGCTGATATGTGCACTAAAGCAAAGCTGAGGAGAAGAACAGCCTCTTCCATATTTATTTCAGCACTGACTTGGTTAATGTGGAGAACGTAATTAGACATGTGCTAATTAGCTAACAATTACTTCTACGTATACAGTAATTTGTTTCGCCCCGGTGGTCCTTTAAAGCGAGACAATGAATCTTTCAACTTTCATGACGGTGATCCAGAGGCCCTTTATCACCGCAGAAAAAGCACTCGATGACAGCAGCAGTACATCTTAGTCAGTAAACCGGGTAATGTAAAAAACCCATTACAGTTTCCTCTGTCGCTGTCTTTCACGTTATCTTTTACACTAGTTTGCTGTTTGATAACTGCACTGAGGATATGGTCGCGATGCGTAATTCCCAGAATCTTATTATCCATGGCTCCTTTAGCAATAGAGAGGTGACATTCCTTCGCTTTCATTAAACCATGTTTCCTAGCCATACAGCAAACACCTGTATATAATCTTTGCGCATTGAGTAATTTTTTAATGCGTTGATGTTCAATGAGAAAACTGAAAGTCAGAAAAATGATTTATATTCGGCGCAAACGAATAAGTTGGTCAAACGGTTTATTGACCAACTTGTTTGCGATGTGTATAACCGTTTTAATATATTCTTCAGTTTTTATCTTTGCGTATCATACATAAGTGACCTTCTCGTGTCGATTCAAAGAAATGATAGTATAAATCGTATCAATAAACTATTTATAATATTCCAGATACTGAATAGCGTAATCCCATTATAAATAAATCTGCGAGTAATATGCTTCATTGTTTCCTACAAGTGCAGTTATAACTACAACGCCTTACTGAAAGTTGAATTTGTGCAATACCGTTAAATATGACTTGAACAGATTTCAGTGAACTGTTCTATGAATACGTCTTTGGCTTGAAGTGTTCATAAAAAGAAGAATGCACAAACAAACAGCAAAAGTCATTTAAAATTTTGACGGAATAGCATGACAGTCTCTTACCGGGGAAGAAAACGAAGAGGTGGAACGTGACATTCCTGATGATACGCATCAGAACAGGCAGAGCAGAACACCAGTTGACCTTCGCTGCTGCCAGAACGACACAACTTGCAGCGAGGTTCCGAGTCTGACTAAAATATAGCGACGGGTATTGTTCAAACGGGATGGGAAGGCCGTCAACTTCAGCAACACCCTACCAAACTACCATCCTCTTCCAATTCATCCTGTGCGACATTTTCTGACTGACGTCTTCTGCGCTCACGTGGCTAAAAAGCATTAAACGGGTGTGAAAACCTGCAAATATATTCTACAATATGCAATGACTTACTTTACAACCGGGACAAAGCCAAGCCTCGGCATAACTTGACTCCAGAGGATATCGTAGACATGACATATGATACATGCTATTACACAAGTCGCAAAATAGGTACGGGTTGTCTTTGTCAGTTTTTCGGCAAATCTTGCATCTCTAAAGATAGACGATGATGATATAGATGAAACTTCCAGTTCGTCAAATGATTCAATCTCCACACAAGTACATATATTATATAATAACTGTTAAATATACTTTAGAAAAGTGCCAAAGAGGTAAACTACGGTTACCAGCCTATGTATTTCTGTTATTCTGTTGCTAAATGAGGATCTAAAGAAATACTGGTCAGCCTAATGAATAAAAGAAGAGCAACTTTCAAGAACATCAGTCCTTCTAAAAAAATCATCTGAAAATTGAATCAATGAGTTCTTTTCATTCCCCGCTTTACTCTATTGTATAAGTTAAACGTTCTTCCAAAAAAGCCATCCATAACGCCTCCATCCGGTCGGTCGGTACTTCTCAATTCTTCCACACGCTACAGCTTCAGAAACTGTAAATCCATTTGACGTATGCGCCATTTTCCCTTTCTTTGAGGCTTTCTTCCTCTCCGTATCTTCGTTATGAATATTTTCTAAACGTTCTGCTTCGTTTTCATTTTTTGGCTGGTTCTGATTCACGAGTAGCAAGTTTCTGACATCTGATTTCATAATTTCTGCAAGATTTCTTTGTTCACCTAGTCTTTTTCGTCCTTTTTATTGTCTTCCTGTTCTTCATTTCCTTCATCGCCTATTTTTCCCTCTATTCGATTCTATTTCAAACAGCAGCTCTCCTGAAGCATTCACTTTCTTCTTCATCTTCTTATTCGTCATCGTATTTTTCTGTTCATCAGTTCTCATTCCCCTGCGTCACTAAATTTGCATCGCCTTATAACCTTTTTTAGCATCTCATGTTCTTCGGATGTATCTGAATGTCTTCTACTTGTTCTCAGCATTATTCATGAATGCTTAGATTGACAAGTGAATTCTGACACACATTCATCGTATTGCGGTGAAGCCATAACTCTTGCTGTCAAGCCATATCATAATGTCTATTTGGAACCATATTCCATATCATGATGATTCCCATTGAAGGCATCATTCGATATATATTTTTTTATTAAAAGCAGCAACGGAATATAAATGAACCTAAAAGTTTCGTCGGTTAGTTGTTGAAATCTGTTCTTCATATTTAGCTGTTAAGAACCCAGTGCTGCAGTCCGTTGTTCAACGGATATTTTTAAAATAAGCAATCTCCACGCATGGCGTTCTTCGACATCATCAAATCGAATCAGTCATGCAACTTCGGTGATTCTGTTACAGGTTTGTTTA